TGTTTTCTATCAACTTTTCAATTAAGACACAAATGCACCATCTTTTGTTTAAGGTTTGATTTTGCCACCCTTAAAAAAAATTCCTACCTCCACTGCTGCTCTTTCGCTCAAACTTCTTTAGAACGTAGATTCACATCGTCACATTTCTAAGTAGTTTGAAATGTAGAATGGAAAAGTTTCATTTGAGAGAAAAGAAATTTAGAAACTTTTATAAACGTTATTCCTTCATTATTTATAAAATTATATAAAAATAAATAAAGTGGAAATAGACCTCTAGCATTTTGGGCTTTGGCCGTGGGCCTTACTTCTTTTTATACCATTTAATCATTTATTATAAAGGACAATTGGATTGCCTTTGAGATTTGTTTTGAAGTATTGGAGTTGTGGTTTTTGAAATTTTTATATTAAAAAATTATGTTATTATTTGTTACACTAATCATTTTGAAAAGAATGTTAAAAATTAATATAATTATTAAATTATTAAAATATTAATTAATGTTAATTTATCATAATAAATTAATACTTTTAATGACATTTTGTAAAAAAAAAAAGACACATTGAAAGCAAATGCGACTTTGACATCTTGGACTAGCTAAAAAGAATATTTATTGGAAAATAATTTTGAAACAATTTTTTGCATTGTTTTTGGACCCGGGTCGGTGGTTGGCTCGTTTTGGCCATCGGGTCTGGTTCAATCAATTGAACCAGTTCACTTGATCGGTTCAATTGGTTGACTAAAAAAGGTAAACAGCTTTTTAAAGAGGTGAGCGGAGAGGACAATGACTAGTGAAGGAGAGGACGATGACTGGCGAAGGAGAGGCAGATCTGTTCTGTCAATGGAAGAAGGAGGTGAGCAGCGAAGGGCTGAGATCAGGGAGGTAGTTGTGGAGTCGCCGACGGCTGGGATCAGGGAGGCAGTTGGCCGACGGTGACTTCGCCTGCTCTTATTTCGTTTTAGCTTCTGCATCTGGATTTTGCTTCTGCACAAACGAAGGGCTTGCTTTTTGGTTTTGTTTTTGCACAAGGCTGGAAACCGTCGATGAAGGTGGCTTGAGATTGGGCAAGGAAAGGCAGACGGTGGTGACTGGTGAGTGGTACTGGTGACTGTTTGTCTCTTCCTCTGCTCTCTTTTGTTTCTGATTTGTTGTTGGTTTGCTTTTGCAATGTATTGAGATAGAAAATCCGATTGTTTGAGACTTTAGTTTTTTTTCTTTTTTTTTTGGTGGAAGTTTGAGACTTTAGTTTTGTTTTTTAATTGATTTTATCTTTTAATTTTTAATTTAAATATATGATTTTTATTGT